GGGTATGTCTCAGTTGCGAGAGATTGAATTGAACCAAAGTGACCAGTAGATTTTCCAGGGTCCAAGGTCAAGTAGTTCAAAGTACCAAACGAAACAAAGCCGGTTTTCAGAATACCATGCTTTACAGACTCTACCATCCACTGGAACATGTTGCATATTGCAGCCATTCAAGTGGTGGTTCATGGTGGTTCAAGTTGGTAAGTTGTCCGATCCCCTCAGCATTTTAGATCGGAGCCAGGTTGGATGTATGTTGAGTAGTAATTACCCTCTGGTAAACTAACATAACTATGGAAAATCACTATCTTTAATGGGAAAACTCACTATAAATGGCCATTTTCAATAGCTATGTTAAATTACCAGAGGGTATAGCCATCATGGCAATGTTTTTGGAACATGACTTATCGGCACTGGAAGAGCTGGTAGATCCTTTTGATCCCATCGCAAGTACCAACTACATCCTGCCTTAGGAGAGTGCCAGGATGTGTTTGTGTGAAAAAATGTGTCTGTGTTGCATGGGTACCTATGTGCTTCGTTGGGGAAATGCCAGGATGAGACTGATGAAAGTGCTCCTGCCGTCGGGTGACCTTGAAATATCTTGACACAGTGCTGGCCTTTGCACGTTTGTCAATGTGTATTAATTAACGGTATAGAAAATGGTGGGGGGAGGGTTAATGGCGCTTCCACCAAGTTGCGTACACCCGAGATGTCATACAACTTGGACATGCTACGTTCACATTAGTGTCAAATTATTAAGCTGGGTAGGTAGACACTAGCTAGCTAGACAGATTAGATAGATAACATAGATAAGATATGATAAGATAGATAGATAGGATAGATAGGAAAGATTGGGTAGATAGGATAGATCGGTGATAGATAGGTTATAGATAGGTGATAGATAGGTGATAGATAGGTGATAGATAGGTGATAGATAGGTGATAGATAGGTGATAGATAGGTGATAGATAGGTGATAGATAGGTGATAGATAGATAGATGAATAGAGAGACAGATACACAGATAGATCGATTGGATTAGATGAGATGAGATGATATTAGATTAGTTCAGAGTAAGTAGGTTAGATTAGATTAGGTTAGATAGATAGACAAATAGATAAGGATCTAGAACAGGACGGGCGCATGTCTTATATGTCGTATACCCTCTTACATTCGATATTCGTGGATGACTTTGGAAAGAGGTATTGGTCGAAGCAAAACTGGTAGCCACTGGTATCTGAGCAAGACCATGGTCCGTTTGTGGGTGAAACAACTTGGTGAGTAGGACAAAGTCATTAAGACATATCAGCAACATTGAAAAACTATGGTTGGCCAAGGATTCTGGTGACGACTCTGATGCCGGGATTCCAAGATCGGTGCGGATGTCTACGTCAAGTGAATTTCTTCTTAAATTCGATGAATATCTCACAGTACTTATGTCATTCTGTATTTGTCAAGTGTAGGCCAGATATCAAGTGAGGCATATCCGAGATATAGCTTTTGGTAATTTAACATATATGGAAAACCACCATGTTTGAATGGCTAAACCATGGAACGAAATGGGTGGCTTCCATAGCTCTTCAATTACCAAAGAGTAAGCCCAGAATTTTGCAGGAAGGCAGCGCGGCAGTCCATGGAGATAGACATAAGAACGACATGGAGCTGCTGATGAAGATGCAGGCACAGCCCGCTGAAACGAAGCTGCCCATGCAGTCATGATTTGACACCGAAACTGCCATGACCATCATGACTAGAAAACATATTTTTAGAGAGGCGGTAACTAAAATCTGCGAACTCCCAAAAGTGGAGCAGTGCCGGTGTCACACTCGGTGTTAGTTGCTGTCCTGATTTGACAGTTTGAAGTTACACTGCGCTGAAGCCAAAGTAGCCGTTTCATCACTTTGCTATTTCATCACTACACTTCAACAGTGTCTGTCGGCAAGTTTCTGCTGAGTGCTGGTGTTGTTGATGGCCCATTTGTCAGCATTGCCTGCTGAACTAAACCAAAATATGTCAACAATAGAGCGTCTACACTTATGTCCATAAGAAACGGTTAAGAAACCACGCGAAATCATTCTTGAATGCATTCCATTTTTTTTCGGGGTGTCTACATTTCCCATCATTTCCCAATCGATTTTCATTCAAGCTGGGACTTTCTCCCAGCTGCGGTCTCATGTCACGCAGGCCAAATCCACACCGAAAGGCGCGCGCCTTTTGTGGGTCATCCGAGTGATCTGAGTGGGTTATCATGGGTTATCCTCGATCAGCTGGGACATAAATGGACATCAATTCAGGCAAACATCAACTTGTCCCTGGTTTTTTTTGTATTCCATCCACAGGCATGGTGTACTCATCAGAGAAATCACCACCGAAATGAGCGGTTCATATGGTATATCTATGTATATCTGAAGTGCCGGGATGTGACATTTGATGCATAAACTTCGCAGTTCGCAAATTATAGGGTTGTTATAGGCATGGTCGCATGCAAGTTCAGAAACCCAAATTTTCAGCATTTCCCGACATGATAGCGATCCATGCAGTAGTAGGTTTTGCTCGCCGGTTGCGGAACGAAGCAAGCAAGCTTGCATATCTCCAGAATTAAGCAGATGCAAGACACCAACCATATAGGCAAGGTCAGAAGGCAAAGACTTTCTAGCTTTTGTTTCAGGGTACTGCGCCCTCAGCAAAGCCGCAGCAAGCACCCTTCTCGACTTTGCCTAGACCACCCGGAAGAGCTGTGCCCTTCCCTTGACAGGCTTGAGCCTGCACTGAAGGCAGACCTTAATGACTGTCGTGAGAACCTACCCATCACAAGACCAACTTCAACAATAGCACGAAGGAAAAGACGTGGTGAGAGACGCTACAAGGGCAGCAATGGTATCAATAGTGGAGGCCACGATCACCTTGCCAGAGATATGACAGCAGTTGTGCTGTCATGCCATGGCCTAATCGAACCAGAAAGAAACGCACTGCATCCTTACCTCACCAGCGATCACCCAAGCGTTTCTGCCAGAACGAAAGACAAGTCCAACATCACCAACAAAGGGCAACTTGGCCTAAGACTTCATCGTCAGATGGTGTACTTGTGGTTGTGGGGGGGGACTTTGTGTTTCCAGGAACACTCATGGTTTGGAAGAACCCCACATGTTTGTGTTGGGGTCAAGCAGTCCACTGTCACCCAAATCTACCAAACTTGATACTTTCCGGTGACAGCAACACTCTGCCGTTGCTTGATGCCAGATTCATGATTTTGCACTGGCAGATTTCCAGCACTGCAACGATTGTTTTCACTGGGAGAAAACATGGCATGTCCTATCATTTAGACTTATTTCATCTTATAAAAAAACCTATTTTTCTCTAGCTGGAAACATATTTTTCTCCAGATTCTCCAGGTTTTTGTTCGGCCATGGAAACATCAAACGCTACGGCTATGGGATGGCCATCCATTTTTCGAGGTGAAGATGCCGATGCCGAGCCTCAGGCCACTAAAAACATACAAAAAACGATGGAAAGATCCACCATTTTTATCCATTTTTCATGGGTCATTTTCAATAGCTATTTTGACATAACCAGAGGGTACCCCCTTATGCAGCCTTTTGAAAAGGCAAATTCAAGCACCTTCACCTGATTTTGACTTCAAGCAAGATAGTATGCCTTGGGAGAAGTGCTTTCTGAGGAAGAAAGTCTGCAAGTTGTGTTTCTCAGACCTTCTGGGATGATTTACAAGCAATGACATGTAGCCAAGAATCAATTGGCCAGTCTGAACCCCACGCTTTCCAGCTTCTTCCAATGTGGCTCTGCACTATTGTTGAAAGCATAAATCATTTGCGAGTGATGTACATATATATAATCATATATTATACACATACACATAATTATATTAAGTTATGTATATGCCTTAAATGATGCGCTGGGATTCCTGATGACACGTTCTTTATCGCTTGAACTCACGACTCGGAATCCCTGATTCGCTGAAAAAGTTGGAACTGTTGAATTCTCCCAATCTTGGGGCTATTGCAAATATGGTATGTATATATATACATATATATATATATATGTATATTCAACCTTATTTATATATATATATATTTAAGGGCTGCCGCCCCTGCCGCCGACCCCGGTAAAGAATCGGGGATTGCTGGTGTCCAAAAACGATGTGGGAAAATACGATGATCAACTCTATTTTTTTTGGACTTTGCATTGCAACTGTTCGAGAAAGTTAAACAATATCTGACAAAATATACCTGACGCAGATGACTTCTAGGCCTTGGGCAGATGCCGCAGTGTTCCAATTTCTTCAAGGGCTGGTGAAACAGGCAAGAGCCGCGAGAAAATTTGGCAAATGCATCATCACATGCAGGATCATGCACGAAGGGCTATGTCAGTAACTGGTGCAGCTTTCGGATCAATTGCAGTTAGGTGCTGGCTGCATGACGAGACAGTTGATAAGAAGCTTGCTCTGAACCCAACAACACATCTATGGTCATTTGGGCCGAGAGACATAAGACCAAATTGCCAAAAGCTATCATGACAAGAAAGCTTCAGCTTAGTTGGTGCCATAAAATAGCTACACAAAAGGTTTTGCAGCTGATAGGGGGTCTTTGGAAATGGATTCTAGGGTCCTTGGTGATTTAGTTCTACCTCTGATTGTGTGATATATGTTTTCCATTATTTATTTCTTTATCTATCTTATCTATCAAGCTAGGTGGCCTTGGTATATACTAGTGAAAATGATCCCAAAGGAAAGATCGTCTTGGGCTAGTGTCCCTTGGATGTTTCAATATATTGTTAATTCTTATCCGCCATTCGGCAATCATGCCAAGATGGGGATTGATAATTAGTGTCTCCATCCATTTACCCTTCTATTCGTGGAAGTGCCAGTCAGAACAAACGATCACCATTCGATCGTAGTTCAAATAGTTTTTTTGGTTGGGTACTTTGATAAAATATTAAATATTTTATATATATATATATCAATATATGCAGCAGATAGGGGGTCTTTGGAATTTGATTCTAGGGTCCTTGGTGATTTAGTTCTACCTCTGATTGTGTGATATATGTTTTCCATTATTTATTTCTTTATCTATCTTATCTATCAAGGTAGGTGGCCTTGGTAAATTCTAGTGAAAATGATCCCAAAGGAAAGATCGTCTTGGGCTAGTGTCCCTTGGATGTTTCAATATTATTAATTCTTATCCTTCTTTCGGTAGTCATGCCAAGATGGGGGTTGATAATTAGTCTCTCCATCCATTTACCCTTCTATTTGTGGAAGTGCCAGTCAGAACAAACGATCACCATTCGATCGTAGTTCAAATAGTTTTTTTTTTTTTTTTAATGGGGGGTTGGGTACTTCGATAAAATATAGAATATATTATCTATGTTGTGCAATTGATCTGGGTTCTCTGGAAATGGATTCTTGGGTCTTTCCAACTATTTAATATATGATAGTGGAATTGAATTGTATTATAGGTACTTTATTATTTTCCCTATGAGGTAACCAATTGGTTGATTAAATGGGTATCATCTTACCATTGGTTATTTAATATAACTATTTGTTTTTTACCATACTCATAGAAAATTTTATGTGCATTATTATGTTCATTCTTAGGCAACCACTTGGTTGTCCCAGTAACGGTTAGGGTTATTTTATTTTATTATATTCCTTGGATTAACTGGGGTCCACTACCATTTCTGAAGGGTACCAACCAATTGCTGGATCAAAATGGAAAAGGTATCAACCACGCTCTTGTTTTTTCTAGGGTGGTGCCCCCATATACCTTTGGTATAAAGCCACCAATGTTAATGTTATCCCTGATTATCATTATTTTTTTTCAAGTACTAAATTTCCCCCATTATTTCTACATCTACATCATATATCCTTTAAATGCAATGTCCAACAGCTAATTTGTCGAAGTCAGGGCGCAGAAATCAGCACCCTGAGTTAGTTTTTTTTTTTTTTGACGATCTTTTGCCTTGGGGGACCCCGTATCCGTCGCATCCGCACATCCGTCGCATAACAATATTTTATTTTATATTTTATCGAAGTACCAACCCCAAAAAAAAACATATCTGAACTACGATCGAATGGTGATCGTTTGTCCTGACTGGCACTTCCATAAATAGAAGGGTAAATGGATGGAGAGACTAATTATCAACCCCCATCTTGGCATGACTACCGAAAGAAGGATAAGAATTAATAATATTGAAACATCCAAGGGACACTAACCCAAGACGATCTTTCCTTTGGGATCATTTTCACTAGTATATACCAAGGCCACCTACCTTGATAGATAAGATAGATAAAGAAATAAATAATGGAAAACATATATCACACAATCAGAGGTAGAACTAAATCACCAAGGACCCTAGAATCAAATTCCAAAGACCCCCTATCTGCTGCATATATTGATATATATATATAAAATATTTAATATTTTATCAAAGTACCCAACCAAAAAAAACTATTTGAACTACGATCGAATGGTGATCGTTTGTTCTGACTGGCACTTCCACGAATAGAAGGGTAAATGGATGGAGACACTAATTCTCAACCCCCATCTTGGCATGATTGCCGAATGGCGGATAAGAAGTAACAACATATTGAAACATCCAAGGGACACTAGCCCAAGACGATCTTTCCTTTGGGATCATTTTCACTAGTATATACCAAGGCCACCTACTTGATAGATAAGATAGATAAAGAAATAAATAATGGAAAACATATCTCACACAATCAGAGGTAGAACTAAATCACCAAGGACCCTAGAATCAAATTCCAAAGACCCCCTATCGGCTGCATATATTGATATATATATATAAAATATTTAATATTTTATCAAAGTACCCAACCAAAAAAAAACATATTTGAACTACGATCGAATGGTGATCGTTTGTTCTGACTGGCACTTCCACGAATAGAAGGGTAAATGGATGGAGACACTAATTCTCAACCCCCATCTTGGCATGATTGCCGAATGGCGGATAAGAAGTAACAATATATTGAAACATCCAAGGGACACTAGCCCAAGACGATCTTTCCTTTGGGATCATTTTCATTAGTATATACCAAGGCCACCTACCTTGATAGATAAGATAGATAAAGAATAAATAATGGAAAACATATATCACACAATCAGAGGTAGAACTACATCACCAAGGACCCTAGAATCCATTTCCAAAGACCCCCTATCAGCTGCAAAACCTTACAAATTCTTTTTTGGATTGAAGCTATTCTATAAAATGCATAGCCCTTATCATTTTTCCACCTTTTTAAGAGCTGCTGGCTGCTGCTAGCTGGCTGCTAGCTGCTGCACTGCTGCCGCTGCTCTTACTGCTACTGCTGCTGCTGGACTCACTGCTGCCGCTGCTACTGCCACAGCCACTGCTCTGGCTGCTGCTGCAGCTCCCGGCAGCAAAACACCATGGCCCTAAAGGATGAAGCGAGTCCAAAATATACGTTTCCCGGGGCCGGGATGTCCCTTCTGAAATCCTACAAAAATAAATCATGGTTTCAAAACCTTTTTTAAGAGCTGCTAGCTGCCTGTTAGCTGCTGCTGCTCTTACTGCGAGTGCTGGACTCGCTGCTGCCGCTGCTCTTGCTGCTGGTGCGGCTAAACTTGCTTTGGCGAACGCGTGCGAAACACTTCCCGGCAGCAAAATAGCATGGCCCTAAAGGACGAACCGAGTCCAAAATATACGTTTCCCGGGGCCGGAACAAAAATATAAATAAATATCTCATGGTTTCAAACCTTTTTAAGAGATGCTAGCTGGCTGTTCGCTGCTGCTGCTCTTACTGCTAGTGCTGGACTCGCTGCTGCCACTGCTACTGCCACTGCCGCTGCTCTTGCTGCTGGTGCGGAAATATCAGTTTTTTACTTTTTTAAGAGCTGCTGGCTGCTGCTAGCTTACTGCTAGCTGCTGTACTGCTGCCGCTGCTCTTACGGCGGCTGCTGGACTCACTGCTGCCGCTGCTACTGCCGCAGCCGCTGCTCTGGCTGCTGCTGCAGCTCCCGGCAGCAAAACACCACGGCCCTAAAGGATGAACCGAGTCCAAAATATACGTTTCCCGGGGCCGGAACGTCCCTTCTGAAATCCTACAGAAAGCTTAACTGCTGGTGTGGAAATTATCAGTTTTTTAAACATTTTTTTACCTTTTTAAGAGCTTCTGGCTGCTGCTAGCTTGCTGCTAGCTGCTGCAATGCTGCCGCTGCTCTTACTGCTACTGCTGCTGCTGGACTCCCTGCTGCCGCTGCTACTGCCACGGCCGCTGCTTTGGCTGCTGCTGCAGCTCCCGGCAGCAAAACACCATGGCCCTAAAGGACGAACCGAATCCAAAATATACGTTTCCCGGGGCCGGAACGTCCCTTCTGAAATCCTGCAAAAAGTTTGCTGATGGTGCGGAAATTATAAGCTTTTTACATTTTTAAGAGCTAGCTGCTGCTAGCTGGCTGCTAGCTGCCACTGCCACGGCCGCTGCTCTGGCTGCTGCAGCTCCCGGCAGCAAAACACCATGGCCCTAAAGGACGAACCGAATCCAAAATATACGTTTCCCGGGGCCGGAACGTCCCTTCTGAAATCTTACAAAAAGCTTGCTGCTGGTACAGAAATAATCAGTTTCTTACATTTTTCAAGGCTTCTGGCTGCTGCTAGCTGGCTGCTAGCTGCTGCACTGCTGCCGCTGCTCTTACTGCTACTGCTGCTGCTGGACTCACAGCTGCCGCTGCCACTGCCACGGCCGCTGCTGCAGCTCCCGGCAGCAAAACACCATGGCCCTAAAGGACGAACCGAGTCCAAAATATACGTTTCCCGGGGCCGGAACGTCCCTTCTGAAATCCTACAAAAAGCTTGCTGCTGGTGCGGAAATATCAGTTTTTACTTTGTTAAGAGGTGCTGGCTGCTGCTAGCTGGCGGCTAGCTGCTGCACTGCTGCCGCTGCTACTGCTACTGCTGCTGCTGGACTCACTGCTGCCGCTGCTACTGCCACGGCCAGCTCCCGGCAGCAAAACACCATGGCCCTAAAGGACGAACCGAATCCAAAATATGCGTTTTCCGGGGCCGGAACGTCCCTTCTGAAATCCTACAAAAAGCTTGCTGCTGGTGCGGAAATTAACAGTTTTTTAAAGAATTTTTTACCTTTTTAAGAGCTTCTGGCTGCTGCTAGCTTGCTGCTAGCTGCTGCACTGCTGCCGCTGCTCTTACTGCTACTGCTGCTGCTGGACTCACTGCTGCCGCTGCTACTGCCAAACCAGCTCCAAAGTGCAGCTCCCATGCCTTCAAAACAGCTCCGCAGCGAAGTTCTAGCGGGCGATTCCGAAACAGCAAAACACCATGGCACTGAAGGAGGAGCTAGTTCCAAAACCACGCCAAAAAACTCCCTAACGTGTCGTCTGAAATCCTAGCAAAACAGCATTTTTCGACAGATTCTGTTGCCTGCGGGCGATTCCGAAACAGCAAAACACCATGGCACTGAAGGACGGAAGCGGCGCCTAGCAAGCAGGCTCCACTGCGACAAGAAACCAGCTCCAAAGTGCAGCTCCCATGCCCTCAAAACAGCTCCACAGCGAAGTTCTAGCGGGCGATTCCGAAACAGCAAAACACCATGGCACTGAAGGACGGAAGCGGCGCCTAGCAAGCAGGCTCCACTGCCTAACGTTGCCTTCTGAACCGACAAGAAACCAGCTCCAAACTGCAGCTCCCATGCCCTCAAAACAGCTCCACAGCGAAGTTCTAGCCGGCGATTCCGAAACAGCAAAACACCATGGCACTGAAGGACGGAAAGCATTAAAACAGCTTCGAAAAAATCACCTCCCGGGGGCGAAACACCATGCCTCTGAAGGACGAGCTGAAGGGCGAGCGAGTTCCAAAACCACGCCAAAAAACTCCCTAACGTGTCGTCTGAAATCCTAGAAAAACAGCATTTTTCGACAGATTCTGTTGCCTGCGGGCGATTCTGAAACAGCAAAACACCATGGCACTGAAGGACGGAAGCGGCGCCTAGCAAGCAGGCTCCACTGCCTAACGTTGCCTTCTGAACCGACAAGAAACCAGCTCCAAACTGCAGCTCCCATGCCCTCCACAGCGAAGTTCTAGCGGGCGATTCCGAAACAGCAACACACCATGGCCCTGAAGGACGGAACGACCTCCAAAAACATGCTGTCCCGGGGCAAGCGAGTTTAGCTGCTGGGCCTGCTGCTGCTGCTGCTGCTGCCGCTACCGCTGCTGCTGCTGCTGCTGCAGGCTTACACAACGTACCCCTCGCCACACCGAAACACCATGCTACTGAAGGACGGAACAACCTCCAAAAACATGCTGCCCCGAGGCTGACGTCCTTTCTAGATCCTTCTGGATTCAGCGATTGCAGCTGCTGGGCCTGCTGCTGCTGCTGCTCCTGCTGCTGCTGCTGCTGGTGATGCTGCTGGAGCTGGTGCCTAACGTTGCCTTCTGAACAAACAAGAAACCAGCTCCAAAGTGCAGCCCCCATCCCCTCAAAACAGCTCCACAACCAAGTCCTAGCGGGCGGTTGCGAAACAGCAAAACACAATGGCCCTGAAGGACGGAACGACATCCAAAAACATGCTGTCCCGGGGCTTGACGTCCCTTCTGGATTCTCATAAAAACAAAGCGAGTTTAGCTGCTGGGCCTGCTGCTGCTGCTGCTGCCGCTACCGCTGGTGCTGCTGCTGCTGCAGGCTTCCACAACGTACCCCTCGCCACACCGAAACACCATGCTACTGAAGGACGGAACAACCTCCAAAAACATGCTGCCCCGAGGCTTGACGTCCCTTCTGGATCCTTCTGGATTCAGCGATTGCAGCTGCTGGGCCTGCTGCTGCTGCTGCTGCTAAAAACAAAGCGAGTTCAGCTGCTGGGCCTGCTGCTGCTGCTGCTGGTGCTGCTGGAGCTGGTGCTGGCCTTCAAAACACACCCTTCGCCACACCGAAACACCATGCTACTGAAGGACGGAACGACCTCCAAAAACATGCTGCGCCGAAGAACAACATTCTTGCAGCTACTGCTAATGGTGGTGGTGCAGGCGTCCGCTGCGCTGCTGTTGCAGCTATTCTTTCTGTTCCTGCTACTGTATTGCAGCTGCTGCTGCTGGTGGTGATGCTGGTGCTGGCGTCTGCTGATGCTACTGCTGCTGCTGCTGCTCCTGCTGCTGCTCCTGCTGCTGCTGCTGCTGGTGGTGATGCTGGTGCTGGCGTCTGCTGATGCTACTGCTGCTGCTGCTGCTGCTGCTGCTGTGCCTGCTGCGGTAGTAGTCCGAAACAAGAGTCAAAAGTATTATTCCCTGGCGCGCTCCCCCTTGCGTCTGCCGGGGTCGGCGGATATCAACCTGAAGAGACGTGGTATTTCTTTAAACAAAGGATGCTCTTTCTTCCAGGTGTGACTAAGAAACTGGTCTCACCCCCAAGCTGAACAGTGCCAAAGGTCATCCCAGTCATTGGGTATACCCAATAAGAAACATCTGTTGGGGATGGCTATTATCCTAAATCCAACAGATGTTTCTTATTGGATATTGGATACACCATCCCCAACAGATGGATATTACTATAATCCAGCAGTCATTATTATAGTTTTCCTGCTACAATTATCCATTATCCCGCTATTATCCTATATCAATCTACATTCTATGATGAAATATCCTACTATGTATCATTGCTATTGGGGTTACCACATTATATATACACATGTATAGTCATCCTGGAGTAGATGGACTATGGAATTCTTAAGAACTTCTCACTCAAATGAGAATATTCTTTGATTAATATATATATAATATTATATATATATTATATTATATCTATATATCTATATATATATGTATTCTGTACATTACTATACATATATCAGCTACTTGGTGGACCTGATCATCTTGGATTCGCAGGAGAGGCCCGAGGCCATTGAAGGTCCGGGGGGTTGGGGAGTCGTTGAAGGTCCGGCGATGTTTCGAAAGATGGCGAAAGGATGATTGATGGACATATATTGCACACACACATATTATACATATATATGACATATATATATATTTATTTATTTATATATGACAGATATAGACATATATAGACATATATATATATATACACCATCTATAGAATATGTGATCCAGTGCATAATGAATATACATATATATATATGTATGTATATGTATGTATATGTATATGTATCTGTATCTGTATATGTATATGCGGGACATCACGCCCTTCTGCGGCAGGAAACACCCAGGAAGCCGAAGAAGCCCACGGGACCACAGCATTTCAGCAGCATTTCAGCGGCCAGGGGGATAGGATGTGCCCAGCAACATCCATGAGATTTCCACGGGTTGGTTTAGGGGAAAATATACAGGAAATTCCATGGGTTTTTATCACCAATTGTAGGGGGGTTCTGGAAGCAGATTTTTCCGTTCAACCAACCCATCGAAGAATGGTTTGCTTGGGAATCCCCCAATGACGACCGGAGCAGGCCGAAGTGATGTGACATGCACTGACTCATGCTGGTAGCAGTTGGCAATGATGCAATAGATTTGAGTCTGCATCTCCATGGCCCTGTTTGGTCTATATATTGCTGCAGTATCAGCCATTAGTTTTGAATGTTGAAATCTAGGCCCCGCCATCTCTGGCACCGCTGAAGAAACAAACCCTTTTCAGTACATGTGGAGAATGGGCTCAAAGTAAGACGCATGGATTTGCAAAGAAGTCGTTTTAGCAGTGAACCATGCCATGTTGAATACGTACTTATATGTACTTCTGTACTTTACCCAGTCTTGACCAAAAAACATCAGCATTTATGCAACACCTGAAGAAGATGCCCCGAAGTACAGTGATCCATGGCTGTTGAACAACATTGATGGAATTCGAACTGAAAAAATGGATTGTATGCCAACCATCAGAGCAATTCTACAACAGCGAAGTAACTTTTCAACATTTGCCATGTGGGTATATTCATGTTTCTTCGGAGAAGCTGCACATACTTAGCCCGAAGCTTCGACACAATACGGTACCTGAAAGGAGTACTCCAGAATATTACGAACCATTGGTATCGGGGTTTCTTGGAAGAGATGTTCACTATTGTTCACTGATTTGGGTGCAGTTGCACGTCCCTTGTCTGAACTTGAAACCTGAGCTAAGGGAGGCTACCAGATGCAACAGAAGAAGGGCTTGATGCGGGGAACTTGGTTTTGCTCTCTGGAAGTGGTCATTTCTCATGCCCAAACTCTTTGTCATTTGTAAGATTCTTCACCACCACTGACACAGCACAAGAGCTGGATCTTGCAGTCAAGGGGTTTTGCGTTCATGAACCACTGGCACAGAAAGACATTCATCTGAAGGTGCTTCTCAACCTTTGTGATTCACATCCATTCGGAACATGTCACCACTTGTCGCTCGGTAAAATCACCATCCATTTGGGTTAAAGATGGGTTGCAGGTCGCGTCTCTTTGGGTCAAAGCAGAAGTCCGTTGTGGAGGTTGGCATCCACGGGGTGTCCGACATGTGCCACACCGTTGGTTTGCATCGTAGGTTGTAGTTGTTGCGATTCTTCGGAGGATCCTGGTCCAAACCCCTTCTGGCGTATCCCAGTAATATATAATATTGTATAATAATAAATAGTAATATATAGTAGTACATAGTAATATAATATATTATAATATATTACAATATTTTATAGTATATATACTTCTAGGCCTCAACTGGCAGTGAGCTGATGTATTAATCCAAAAGCCGCTGCTTTGTGTGCCAGATCCCTCCGGGCACCAGCATGCTTGGCCAGGACAGGATTTGGCAGCTAATGATAAAGATCAATAGACAAGACCTAGTGACCTAGTGACAGGGCTTTGCACCTTTTGGGAACCTCCTTGCCAACTTCGATTGCACCTCCTACCATTTCACATCATGCAGGTTTTGAAGGCTTCTTGAGCTTTGATTTTTTTTGGGAAAAGCACCAATTCAGGAAGGACATGCCGGAGTGCAGGAGACTTTGAAAACATAAACTGCACATTTGCATCCTTGTAGGCTACCCCGCGGCCTCAGCATGATTTAGCCTACTTCCACAGGACCTCTCAAAGCGAGAAGACAAATGGTACGAAGAACACCTTGCAAGACTGGGGAAGGCCTGGTTCCCTTTAGAGATCCAAAGAGTGAGTTGTTTGTTTGTACCCTCTGGTAAACTAACATAGCTATGGAAAATCACCATTTTTGATGGGTAAATCCACTATAAATGGCCATTTTTCAATAGCTATGTTAAATTACCAGAGGGTACCGATGGAATTATATCAAGACATGTACTGTGCTTTGAAGAAACGACTTCAGCATTGGAAAAAAGAGGTCACATCTCACCGACTTTTTAAGTTGAGTATGAACAGCGACAGGATGGGATCCGTTGCACCAAAGTTGGTACCAACGGAAAGCCTTATGAGCGATTTGTTCGGGTCCAAGATGGGCTGATGGTGAGATCCAGAGGACACGGCGTCATACTTGCCTTCTGCAAAGCATTAATTGATTTGTGCATCGAACATTAAATTAATCTACAAGTTGATTTCAAACTTGTATAGCACCGAACCTCGGAACCCTTGCATGGCTTTGCATCTAAATATCAGACGTTTGACAAGTCCTGCTCTAGACATTGCTAAGATTGCTGACTTTGTACTGCTGTTGAAGGGACGGACAACCCACATCTCTCGGTAAGCTACATGGAAAACCCACCATAAAAAATGGTGGTAAATTCAGGTAATTCATCTATAAACCGGCCATTTTCCATAGCTTTCCAGTTGGTTTACTGGAGGGTAGTGGGTCCGGTTTCAAAACGGGAACCAAACGGGAACCCTGGCCTCGCCAAGCCAGGTCTACCTGGATTCCAGAAATCTCACCCTGGAGATCCGTGGTGGCCGCAGTGGCACGTCAGGCCATTGGGTCCCAGTGGTTTTTGGAGGTTTTTGTTTTCAAGATGCTTTTCTTTTGTGAGGCAAAAATGACTACATGAATGAATTCAAGAGAATTTCGAAAGTAGGTAGGACCAGGTAGGACTTCAACTTCTCCAATTTGGGCATTCTCCTTTGGTAAGGGCCAACTTTTTGCCTTGGACACGAAAATCTACACCGCGGATGCCGCAGGTGTCATGATGGACGATTTGGTGGACATTCGGCAAGGTCTTAGCAGCCCTGACTTTCAACAGCTTGGACTCCTGAGGGCCGAGCAGGTGGCAATGTTGACTAGTTGAACCAATACGAAAGTAAGCAATAGGTCATTATTTTTCTATTTGGCTATGGATCAATACCTATTAATACAATTTTTAGTGGGATGAACATCCATTTACCAGCTATTTTGATGTTCACCAGGGGTACAAGGTTTTGACACACTGCCATTTGACGTCAAGCTCCTATTACTGTAATAAACCCCTCCCCCCCCCAGAAGGTCTGGATCCTTGAGAAGGTTGTCCCCGCCGAATAATGACACGCAAAACCAAAAATGGGATTCATGAGATTTTCAGTAAGACTTTCAATTGAAATCAATTTACTTTCAATTGATTTCCCTTTTAAATCTAAAGGAAAAGTAAGACTTTCAATTGAAATCAACTTACTTTCAATTGATTTTTCTTTAAATCTAAAGGATACATAAGTAAGACTTTCACTTGAAATCAGTTTGCTTTCAATTGATTTCCTTTTAAATCTAAAGGATAAGTACGGATTTCAATTAAAATCAATTTACTTTCAATTGAATTTTCTTTTAAATCTAAAGGATAAGTATGGATTTCAATTAAAGTCAATTTACTTTCAATTGAATTTTCTTTTAAATCTAAAGGATAAGTCAGGATTTCAATTAAAGTCAATTTACTTTCAATAGAATTTTCTTTTAAATCTAAAGGATAAGTCAGGATTTCAATTAAAGTCAATTTACTTTCAATAGAATTTTCTTTTAAATCTAAAGGATAAGTATGGATTTCAATTGAAATCAATTATGGTCAGGGGGGCTGAGGGTGTTTTTTAATTGGGGGTGCACATGCACATTGTTGGGGGGGGGGCAACCCACCTAATCCCACCTAAAGAGGTACCCTTTGTGAGCTTATCAAAATGCATTTTTTTTAATAAGAAATTAATAAGGGACATGCATTTTCTTCCAATCAGAAATTCAGATTTTTTGGGATTTTCCTAGATTTTGGGGATTCTGTGCCTTGAATATCTTCAATGTATCTATGTATAAAATTATATATATATATATTATATTATATAGGTATTGACATAACTATAAGGCATCTCCAAAAACCAGAACCCAAAAATCACCTTTTCACCACCAAAAAAGGTAGGATTTTCCAGAAGGGTATTTTTTAATGGGGGCTAGCGACCCATGTTGATTAATGGGGGGGGGACCAACCCAAAGTAGTATTGCATTTTTTTTTGGGACTGTGGTTGTTGATTAATACGGGCTGTCTAATAATATGAACTTAACATTACGTGTTCTGGATAGATAAAGGGTTCACGATGATTGCATGAATGATGATAAAACGTATAGAAAACCAGCTGTTTTTTGTACATATGTACATATATGACATATGTACATACATGTAAACTGTATAGGGATATTCGAGTCACTCCGCGACGAGCACCGAGCCCACCGGGGACAGAGCCTTGTACATTTTGTACAAGGGTGACATGAAACAGAGTGTATGGGAGTATTGTGATGGCAAAGCACATCAAGTCTCGTCTTCCGAATCCAGTGGTCGACGACAGCATGTCGCTTACAGAAGCTTCCAGCTGGAGACTATCAACCACACTCCCATTGTGATGGTATATATATATATGTAAATAAAACGTATAAATAACAACTATATATATTCACATATATGTATATATATATATATTGCATACAATTGTTTTTAACTTCTTATATATATATATACATACATGCACCTCTAAATATCTGGCCTTGGATATATACATTGTAGGCCTAGATAGATAGATCGATAGATAGATAGGTAGGTAGGTAGGTAGATAGATAGATGAAGCTCTACTATATATATATATAGACGTGTTCTTTTCGAACACAGAGAGAGAGAGAGACACAGCACATATACTAGAATCAAACAAATATGGCCAACCAAGGGTGTCAGGTTGTGCTTCTGGCATTGCATCATTGCAGCTTCCAATTTCAGTCATTGGAAATAGGTGTCCGAAGTGGGTTGTGCCAAAGCCAGCAGAATCACTGAGCAGGAGGAGGAATCAGCAGAGAACTTGGTTGGCTTTGTACCGCGTGAAGCGTCAGAATTTGGGATCGAGCCAACTCGGATTTGTTGATCTCGCTGAGATGCAACCGAGTTGCTCGACATGCACTGGATTGCATAGGTCTTAGGTATTAAGGTTGACCCTGACAGATGAGGCCAGGATGCATGTTGCTATGGCAGTATCCAATGGCGTTGCGGCCGATGGATGATACGGTGGCTCGAATGACGATACACCAGACATCCATCTTTTGTATGATGCCCTTGTGGATCCAGAGACTGGAGTGCTGAGTGCGGGTCATTACGATATTCTGCTACCGGGACAGAAAGGATATCGACATTTCAAGCTTGCCGAAGCTGTAGATATCGTAAAGTGTCCCATGAACATTTCAGAGGGATTTGATATCCCTATCCTCACGATGTTCAACCAGGGCAAGATGCAGGTGATGCATTCGGAGGCAAATGAAGTTGCAGCCGCCCGGCCTGCGCGCTAAACCCATTGCAAACAAGAACGTGGGCACAACAGCTGAAAATATTCGCAACTTCCTTTGATATATATATATATAATCGTTTTTTGATTTATGCCTATGGTGCCAACATGTGCTTTATGTGTGAACTTGCTCATTGCTTGAAGGCTTAGAACAAACTAGTTTAGCTTTGTTTTCAGACTTATTCCAACATATCTAAAAGACAATTTGGGAACTATGTGCGACCCCTGGATTTTTTTTTATTTATAATCCGATCGAGGAGGTTGATGGGGGGTTGCCCATGGTAGGAGCCATATGGCAAAGTGTCAACAGAGAAATCCAACAAGGCCAGCGGTTGAACCCAAACACGAAACAACGGAACCTGAAGCTGAACAGCACATGCCCGAGCAGATTGAACAGCCTGAGCAGCAGGGCTGCCTACAGAACCTACGCGTTGTTGAAAGCAGTGGTGCGATTGAGGATAGCATTGCGACAACCGCTCCAGAGCCCAATGTCTTTGCCGAAGATGCACACAATGCTTCAGAACTGCTTCATGATAGCAATGATGCACTTGTGGATAGCATTGCTCTAGCCGATCCAGAGCCCAATGCGTTTGCCGAAGACGCACGCAATGCTCCAGAACCGCGTCAGGATGGCAGTGACATAAAGATGCACTTGTGGATAGCATTGCAACAGCCGATCCGGGGCCCAATGCCTTTGCCGTAGATGCATACAATGCTTCAAAACTGCTTCAGAAACCGTGCGTCTCGGCGAGCGATGGTGTTTGCAAGAAGCCAGACGTCTCCTCTGGTGCATGTTTAATCGGGCTATCTCGACAGCAGTTGGAAAAGATCAAACAATGTGCCACAAACAAGCCCTGGGCAACTGTTTTACATGTTGGAAAGCTAAAGGTGGCATCATTATCTTCAAGCCTTCGGACGATACAGTGCTGAGCTGCCATTCGGAAACAATTACTTGCATCAGATCAATGCAAGAGCTGTTGCAGTATCCACATGTTGAATGTTTGACATCGTCTGAGCAGAAAGAGTGGCTGCAGTAATTGTGTGATCGAACATCTGATGGTAGGTTGCGCCCCATTTATGTATGGACTTTCAGCTACATTGCCGAGTGTACAGCTATTATTAGTGATACATCCACCATCAAATCCAGAGGTTCCGTGCGAAAGCTTACAACTGGCGAAGCTGAACAAGTGCTTGGAATACATACAAGTGCTGGGCATGCAGAATCAGCACCAGAACCAAAAGAAGCAAAACCAACCGAACCTGCAGTATCAAAAGACCAAGAATTTTTGTCATGCAGCTTAGCTCATTTGTCATCAACGACATGATCAAGCAGTTCGGCCAATCCACGGGCAATTGTCAATGGCTTGCAGCCTTTGTACGTCCATCATCTACCAAATTACCGGTGTACGTGTGTTATAGCTCTACTGGCAAGACCATCTTTCATTGCAATGTTGCATCGATCACTCATATGGGTGACGCTACAATGTTGCAGCATGATCTGAATGATATGCGCTGGCTGACCTTGGAGTACAATCGAAGTTTCTTGCAAATGCTTCGATCCAACCAGCAACAGGATCGCAAGATGTACCTATGGCGTTTCAGTGATTGCTGCATGTTCAGACAACCACTTGAACTGCTAGGAGACAATCATACGAATAGAAGGGGTCTGACATTCAAGGCAACACGATCACAGTTCATACCTTGGCAGCAAAGATATCTGGCACCGGTTATGAGCCTTCATAGCACCGGTGATGTTTTCCTTCACCGTTCGAATGACAAGGACCTGAGCAAACCCATCTGCAAAATGCGCTGGTTACCACAGTCCCGTGCACTTTTTGGCGGCCGGCTCTCTTGGAACATGCCCCCCCCCAACTGAAGCTGTACCAGACTGACAGATCGTTCCATTCGTCGCATCCACTGCTAAACTACCACGCTTCAGCACCTTCGGTGCGGGCGGATTTACATACATACATACATACGTACGTACGTACATACATACATACATACATATGTATATAATTATAAATATAAATAAATAAATATATATATATATACTCATAGTATTATATTGTCTTGTTTTGTATTACAGGTAATTGTATCATATTTTGCAACCGTATGTCATATTTAATTCGTGGATTCCCCCAACCCATTGGCGTGCTTTCCACCCCCGCCTGTTTCCCGAGGTTTGTTGCGAGATTGAACATGGATCCGTCAGGGGCCCTCGGATCCACTGGTAGTCTAGCTCCCCTTGCTACTCCAAAGATAATGTGTATATATATATATGTAGTATCTTTTGTATACAAAGAACATACATTATATGTATATATATATATATATCTATATCTATATGCGCCGTGATTCATGGCAGGCTCGTTCCTGCAGGGATTGAACGATTGAACTGGTGCGAAACTTCCTCCAGGAATTGGTGGGGGCAAATGAGGCCAGCATTTTGTAGCGCAGCTTTCACACTGAAAGATCACACAACAAGTCATTGTCATCATGGAGAGCACCTGAGATTGGTGAACTTCCCCTTAACATTCAGCACCCCCGCGAAAAACCATGGCTCCGCCCGCGGATTGACACAGACTTGGGACCATAGGATTGGGGTGCTTAATATGAACGGGGAATGCGATCACTCAACGGCAGTACCCGTACCCTGATTTTGTTTGCGTAGGTGGTGTTGCGTTTTTTAAATTAATCTTGGAACATCAAATTAATCTTGGAAAATCATATTCCAATGTACTCCCAAAAAACTATACACATGTGTACGTCACATGAGATGTATGTAAAATACATACGTGCATGAATATACCAACACATACATATATGATTACACATATATAGATATATACATCTATTTGGTATTATATATATATATCATACATGTACACGCTTTCCCAGATCAAGAAAGGGGATTGCACAATTTGCAGCATGTGGCCATGGCGGCGTCCTGGAACATTCAGCGCTTGGCGCTGTATCATAGCGGTCGAGCTGAAGCCGTTGCTGGGCACGTCGTTGACGTCGTGTGACCCCCTTGTAGTATGGGTCCAAAAATGGGGGATGGACCCCCCAGTTAGGCAATTTCTTAGGGAAAAGGATGATAAACCAATTGATTACCAGAGGGTGTAAACATTCTGACCAAACTGCTGAAATGCGTTTAAGCCATTTTTTTTGACTTGGCACAGTTCATGTGACATATTTTATGACATATATTCTGACATTTTATAAAATTACATTTGCTCTGTCAAACTCCATCCGGCATATAGTGTGACATGTGACATCAACCCTGACTTTTGACCTACATTCTGACATGGTGACCTTTGTCCTGACATATATTCTCTAGTTTGTCAATGCTTGTCATCATGACGGGTCCAGGATGACAAGCGAATGCCCTCCCTGGTGCATGACCAGCTGTTGGTTTTGGGAGTCAGGGGATAGTGAGGGTCCAGGCTCGATCTGTCAGATAAAGAATTTCCAAAAAAGGTGCAGATGCACACCTCAAAAACTAAGACTGCATAAGTGGGTTGATTGCAGTGACATCGTTGGTCAATTCTTTGTTACTTCAATTTTGTAACCCCAATTCTAGCCAAATCATATTATGACCTATTCTATAGTTTTCATATGGTTTTCAGATAGTTTTCGTTGCTCAGGTCTATAGTGATGGCTCTGCTGCCATTCTGCATCCTTCGAAGCCTTCGGCCAAGGGCCCAATGACGGTCACATTTTTTGCCTGCAATGGAGTGAGGCAAAGGTTGTTGTCATCCTGTGACTTGGCTCTGATTCTGGGGGACTTGGATGACAGCACCCCTTTTTGCACAACTTTTTGCACCTGAGAACTCGAATTGATCCAAACAATATGTTTCTTTTTCTTACGGCTTTGAACTCGATATATATATATATATGTATATACATGATATAGTTTAATTTATGATATGATATGAAATATCATTAACTATTCAAAAACCCAACATATAAAACAATATATAGTATTATATAGTATAATAAAGCATATAATATACAACAATATGTGATATGCAAAATATAGTAATAGAACATAGTTTAATACAATATAATATCATACCTTATAATATGGATTAAAATAGATTTTGATGATTTATAATACATAATTTAGACTGTAGTTTAATGTTGTAAAGTATATTATATTGTCTAATACTAACATATAATGTAAGATATAAAATATGATGTAATTTAATTTCATAAGATATAAAAAAGATAAAATACAAACTAATATAATACAATACGATAAAAATCTTTTATATAATGCAATAGATTTCAATTTAACAGAGTATAACATAAGATAATATAATATATAGTTTCGAATTTATACTTTTAGATATTTAGTCTTCATATATCATACATAATATTTAATGTTTAATATGTGATAACTTAACTATAATCTTCAATATTTAGTATTCAAGATTGAACATATAACATTGAATATTTAGTATTTAATATTTATTTATTTTTAAATATGATATATTTAAATACATATTTATAGAATATATATATATAATGAATATAAACATTATGTAGTATTTGAACTAGAATATATTGCATATAATAAATGAATTCAAAAAATGTATCATAAACAGTGCTTTTTCAAGTATATAAGATATACAGTGCACAATATATATATATTTAACGAAATATACAATTTGCATTTATTTATATAATTATATATATATATATATAATATACGTTACATAATTTTTTTAAAAATATTTTTTAACATATAATATATGTTCTTTTGAATATAATATAATGTAATATATTTTAAAATAACACACGGTATAACATATAATATATTTAATTCTTTATATTTCATTATTGATATAGAATATTTAATATAAAATCTGCCATCTGCATATTTTAATATATCATATATAATCTTTAACATATAATATGTAATATATGATATGAATATATATATATATATAATATGTAATACGTTATTTTTAAACATTTAATAAACAATACAAAAGATCTAATTTATAGTGTATATACTATGGTAAAATATAACCATCATATATATATAATATATATATATAATATATATATATATGTCTGATTCCGAGCTGGGTTTGGCAGCGCTCCTGGCATTTTGTCATCGACCATGGGATCCCAACTTGCACCAGGTCTTCCGCGCGAGTTCTGTGGCAAAATTCTTGCGGCAGCAACGATTCGCGATCGTTTTCACCCCATGCCATCAGTGTTCCTTGGTGAAAGATGTCACGTGGCCACCTTAGTGTCACAGTCTGACTAGTTTAACGAGTCTGACGAGTCTGACTAGTCTCTTGTTTGATCTTGTTTGTGTTTTTTGACACACAGTTCTTCACTCTCTGAATACCGATCAACTGGGAGTCATTGGCATCACTCCTCATGAGACTGCATGCTTGTTTGCTCTCCCTCCCTCTCTCTCACAAAATATTTTTTTTGCGATCATTCACATTTCAATGGGAATTTCAATGGGATATTCCCTTACATAGGCCTAAAAAATAGGCCTTATATATGGTAGGTACCTCCAATGAATCGGTTCCTGAGTCATGGCCATTGATCATGCCTCCACTGCATCAGTTCCTCATTCCATTTCCCCAAGAGGCTGAGCAGTCCAGCGAAGAAGCGCTTGCGGAGGCTGCAGCTGTTGACGCACGTGGTGTGGCCCTCTTGCGAGATGGGGACTCAGCGACATGAGGAGTGCCATTCTTTCCTGTGTACCCTCTGGTAATTTGTTACAGTTGGCCATTGAAAATGACCCATTTATAGTTGATTTACCCACTCAACATGGTGATTTTCCATAGTTCTTTGTATGTTTACCAGAGGTTAAATCCCATAAATTCCCATTAAACCACCATAAAATCCCATTAAACCACCATAAAACCACCAGAATCCCATGGTAATTGCCACATATCAAACCGTTTTTTTCGCCAGGATGGTAGCATCAGCATCGAATCGTTGGATCGGAACTCCAAGCTGTTGCTGGCACCGTATGGGCGGAGCTACGTGGTGGAATGGTGGCAACCAGTCCCTTCAACTGACCGCCGCTTGGCAACAGAAGACGGGAAGTCTGCCGCAATAGCCTGGGATGGATACTAAATGCATAAAAACATATAAAAACATCATTCTATATATATATATATATATGTGTCATATATCTAAATGCTTTTGAAACCCTAAAGTATGCGATCCTTTTGACATGACTTTTTGAGTCAGATCAAGAGAAATTCAGAGGAAACACAAATCGTTTTGTCGACCTGTGTACGATCACTCGTATTGTCATGTATTGTGTCATGTATTGCCAGGAGGTACAAGGATGGACCCCGGGCCCCAGCCAGTTTCATGAGCTGTTCATCCCCGTCTCCTTGGGTTCGCTTGTGGTTTCAGTGCCGGAGGTGAGAGTCGCATGGAGAATGCACCCGGCTGTCAGATGGCGACGGAGAGCTTTGGTACTGGGGTGGGTTATGAACACATCTATCAGGTGCAGTGCTTCTATGTTGAGCACGTGGAGATTCCATGGTTTCTTGGAGTGACAGCCCGTGATTAGGGCTGCTACACAGCATGTTTTTGCATTTTTGGAGATCGGAAAGATGTGTAGGGCGATTGAGATCGAGATCGTCGGTCCGCCTCTTTGTTACAGTATATTTTGTTACCGTTGGACATGCTTCAGATTTGGCGATTGCGAAAGGCTGCAGGGTGTTGAGCGGTCCAAACGAAACAGTGGAATTGGATCACCTGTTGATCAACTTGGATCCAGCAGTGTTGGCTGAGATCGTTGCAATCCCATGTTGGGATGGACATGTGACATGGACAAGGTAATTCAAAGTCAACCTTGAAACACCGGTGGGCAGATGTCAATGGTTAGATCGGGCACCCTCCAGAATCTTAGACATCGGAGTCATAGCCTGTGCCCAAAAAACATGGTGTCCCCTTGGGAGTGGGATGTGTCACAAATCCAAAGCCATTCAGTGGAAATAGCAACTGAGTGCGTGCTGTGTTGTAACCACTGAAGCACTGAGGCTTTACCCTCTATTCCTGGCCCTCATGCAGCATGTGGCCCCTTCAGCTGATGCGGCATATGCGCATTCTTCCAGTACGCGGCGTTTGGTGGGTGGCTTGGCGGGAGTTCCTTTGTGCTGATGTCTACCATCGATGTTTGCATACCTTAAGAATTGGATGGGGGTATATGGGATATAATTATGGTATAATCATGATATAAAGTAACAATAAGTGATATAAGATATGAGTCGTAAGCTATGGTTGGCTTTCGTAATGATACATAACATCTCACCCGAAGTGACTAAGTGGCCTTTTATGGTACTCCTCAAATCCAGTAGTTCTTACACATATTTACCCTCTGGTGAACTAACATAGCAATGGAAAATCACCATTTTTAATGGGAAAATCCACTATAAATGGCCATTTTCAATTGCTATGTTAGTTCACCAGAGGGTAGCCATGGTTCTTCCTAAGTTTCCCCCACTTGGGCGGCTCATTTGGACCTTGGAACCCCCAGGTCTAAAGGCGAGGTTGGAGGATTGCCTGGCGACCGGTCAACTGGTGGACAGTGGCAAGGGCGTCACGGCGCCCCTCCCTTCAAACGGCAACGGGTCGCTTGGACGGCAGGAGGAGCAACTCCAAGTGAAGCGAAAACACAAAGGGGCCATGGCAGTTAGGAGTTGCCAAGGCGTCTTGCAAGATTCAGATGATTCAGCTTGTTATACTAGTAGCCTTTGCCGATTTGAAGCCATGGATTCAACATGTCAGGTTGAGTGCCTTTCGGATAGAGACTTACCAGACTCACCAAGAAGCTGCGTATATTCCATTCGCACTGGGGTTCCGCAATGTCGGGTCAAGGTCAGATTTCAAGCACTTTCCTACAGTTTCCAATACTTTCCTTGTGATGACCAGCCTGAAGGTTGGATACAGTTGGCAACGCTTGCGACCATGTGTCACCAGCAGTGTGCATGGGCGAGGTGAGTGTCTTGACTATGAGCCGCGCTTTTGCGATAGCCGGTGATAGATGGTGTGGAGTGTTTAGGATATTTAGGACATTGAGGGTTGTGGGTTTCAAGGCTTGTGATTGCTGGGGCTTTTGGCACTATCCAAGAGTCAGTCAGGTAATTTTTCAGCAAGCTTCAGAGGTTTGAGAGGTTTGAGGCGATTTCTCGACACCCCTAACGACACCCCTACCCTCCGCTAAACTAACATAACTATGGAAAACCACCATTTTCAATGGGTAAATCCACTATAAATAACCATTTTCAATAGCTATTTTGACATAACCAGAGGGTAACGACACTCCAATGGTTGAGGTGAAGGACCTGTCCGTGTGCTGTGGACTCCGACCGCAACCCTATGGCTGCATCCAGATCAAGGAGAAGCGACAATTGACGTGGCTCGTTGATGGTCAGCGACCAGCTTCCCACAAAGGCATGGATGAGGATTGTAAAAGTGGTCAAACTTATATAGAAAAGATGTATTTGGTAACCAGGGTGTGACAATCTATGGGTATGAAAGCTAGGAGGGCTAAAAAGGCAATGGACATTTATATAATGTAAATACCGTATTAATACGGGATAATAATGAATGGATAGTACGGGTAATCAAACATGGCAATAGAAATTCACAATTCCCCATTTAGTTTGCTGATTTTCCCAGCTACAAATCTTCACTGAGTACAGCCGGTCACTGCCGAGGTGTCGCGCGGAACTCCTACGCAGCCTGCGCAGTGTTTGCTGATGGTGTCCCATCTGGGAGGGTTCCAGTAATGGGGTTTACCTCAATAGCTGGGTGGTTTATAATGGATTATAATGGGACATCCTATGTGGATGATCTGGGGGTACCCCCATGACTTAGGAAACCCATGGAAACCCCCATTGAGCGCTTTGCTATGTGAATATTTGGCCCTATTTGTAGAGATGATTTATGAAATCAAGTTGATTTGCTTGGCAATCTACTCTGTTTTTGGGTGTGGACACGGCAAAGACATCAAGCATCGCCTTGATAACTGCAAAGTTGAGAGATGTGCAGCACCGTGCAGCCTGAGCTGCCGCATGATTTTAGACAGTCTCTTTGACATTTTTCTATCAACAGCTTGTCATGGTCCGGCGTTGTCGTCGCATTTAGGGTTCAGTCGGTTCAGTGCTGTCGATCTGAAATGGAAATCCGCAACGAAAATCGCGGATCAGCGATGGCAGGAGTCTTCACTCAAGGGCCGCTTCTGGAAACGTTTGGGACCTGGTGGACCTGGTGGACCTGGTGGCGAGGCAGGACGCCCTTCATCCAGCTTCAGATGCAGATGCCACTTTTTGAACAAAACGGTTTTATCTTGGAATTCAGCCCTAGATTAATGAGTGACATAAGAACAATTCAGAAGTCTTGGTACAAGTTCGCAGTATGCCTGTTTGGAACGCTTAAGTGTTACGCATGGTCGTCCGATGTTTTGCTGCGGTCTCTCCGGGTGTGGTCACCATGTATGCCATTTATGCAGTCATCAACAAAACCGGCATGTTGAGTTTAACAATTGACAGAGATGAACAAGCATCATCCATACACAGGAGCTGAAGGGATTCCTCTGCTTATAAAAATTATATATCATCCATACCCAGTTTATATTGAAAGTATTTGAAAGTGATTGGACTTAGCTGAAGGGATTCCTCTGGCATAGCAGTGATTCCCTAGATTTCCACCATGAGAGTCCAATCCTGGCGGTGCCAGAGGTAATCCTCAGCGAGATGAAGAGCGTTTCGACGGGACCGGAATCACAGCGTGTACTTGAACTGATTGATGAAGCGGTGGCTGGGTGCAGATGCGATGCTGTTTTCAAAGTGATGAAGTTTGGTGACACATGGTGAAAACTGTTGGCTTTTTGAATGTGTTGGTATGATTTGGTATGATTTGGTATGAATCCGGGGGAGGGAAGCCAGGGAAGCATCAAAAAAGTCTTCTGGACAAGGACCTGGAAAGCTGTTTCAAAACCCTTCAAGTCGCATCATTTTCAGAAGCTCAAGACTGTTGCCAAATTGGACTTCTAAACCTACCCTGCAGATCCTGGCAGATCCGAGACCTACTTAGAGTAGAGTGAGCTTCCCGATACTTCTACTTTATTTAGCACATTTTAGCATTAAAAGTGTTGCGTCTCAGACAAAAGTGCCTCATTGGACGATGGGACATTTACAACCACTTGGTAAGGAAGACTAGGAAGACTAGGAAGACTAGGAAGACTGTAGTCTTGCAATGTATTTCGTAACGATTGAACCGGTTGATAACTCATGATAACTCATGATAATTATTGATAATTCCACAGTCGTGAGTCAAGTTAAATCGGTTCAAGTTATATATATATGTATATCATATATATATATATATATGTAAACATATATCACATATATATATTATATCATATATATATATCATATATATATATATCATATATATATATTATATCCTATATATATCATATATATATATTATATATATCATATATATATATTATATATATCATATATATATCATATATATATTATATCATATATATATGATATATATATATATATATATCTCATATATATATCATATATATATATATATCATATATATATCACATATATAAATCATATATATATATCACACACATATATATATCATATATTTATATATCATATATATCATATGTATATATTGTATATCATACATATATATGTATATCATATTTATATATGTATATCATATATGTCATATATATCATATATATATATATATCATACATGTAATATACATCCATATATATTATATAAATCATTTACATCATATATACATATCACATATATATATATATATATATCATATATCATATCATTTATATATATATCATATATACATATAAATATATATCATATATATCATACCTCATCTATATATCATATATATCATATATATATATATCTAGATATATATATATATATCATATATATCATATTTATATATATTTATATATCATATATATATAATATATGTATATATATCATATATATCATATATATATATATCATATGTATATATATCATATATATCATATATATATATATATATCATATATATATATATGATATATATATATATATCATATATATATATATTAAATATATCATATATATTGCGAATAGAGTGTAGGCTACGGACCATTGTACACTATCACATAATTCAACACTCAAAGATCCACAGCCAAAGGGTACGTCAAATCGCCCCTTTGGCTCAAGGACCACTGCAGGAACCGGAATAAAGAATGCCATGCTGAAGCCGCTACCCGTGTGACGTCACCACTGAAACACCCACTTCAAGATCAAGCAAAAGAACATAATCGGGGAGACAACCTCCGATTCACAGGTTATCAGCCGTAGGACTCCTACGGAGCCTACGAGCGGGTAGCCGCGGGCCTTACAGATGACTGAACAGGATAGCAGCGATAACGCATTTTCTTTCTCTGGACATGCCGTTGCACCAGCTGCCGGCACGCAGTCAAATTCTTCACAGAGTATCGACACTGGTGGAAGCGATGCCTCAGAACTGAGAACGAGCCTACCCAGGCGACCTCTGGTTGCTCCTAGAGGGAGACAAATTACGACAATGCAAGCAATTGAAGATAGGGACAGCACACCTGGAAAGAGAAGATCATCTGCACGACAATTGTCGCCTCCGATGACTCCAAGGACTAAGGCAAAGACTACGTCGTCGAATCCGCCTTCACCGATTCAGGACGCTACTCCATCAGGGACAGGATCTTATCAGCAAGTGAACGCCCCGTCGAGTGGTAGCGACATCTTCACTGCCTATCAGAGCGAACTAACTGAATACAAGACATCACTGGAAAAGGCCACTGAAGAGGAATCCGTACTTCAGGCAAGATTGACTGAGACGACAGCATATGCCTATCAACAATTTAATTTCCTGGAAAGCACCACTCATCAAGAGATGATGTCGATGACCGAACAACTCCAGATGCTGAACTTCGAATTACAGGCTGCACAACAAGAAGATGAAGGTGCGACCTACAGGATCGAAGAGTTGGAAAGGTATCAGACTATGTCGAATGAAGCTGCATCTCATTTGGAATTCAAATATTCACGACTACGTTCGGAATTCGATGAACAAATGGGACAAGCAAACGCAATTATGGTGCATGTGGGCGCTGACGCGAATGCTCACGTCAATCAACTCAGATTGGAATTAGAGAACGCAGAGATGAATGCAAAGCAAGAAGCTCTGGCGGTCGGCTACGCTAATGACCAAACATGTGCTTTACAAATCGAGATGCTCGAGGTTGCCAATCAGAACCAGACGATGAAGCACACCATGGCCATGAATGTCAGGCGACTGGAAACTGAGCTCGATGCTGCTGACATGAAGAGGGACGAGATCATGAAGGAGTTCCGTAGTAACATAAGATCTGAACATGACCGTTATGCAGAATGTGAACACCACTTAGCTTTGGAAGAATCGCAACTTCGATTGCAGGTGATCCACAATGAAAACTTACAATCTCGACTAGCGATTTCTGAAAACAGGGTTTCTGAAGAATCTCTAGCTGAATCAGGCGGCATGCGGGACATGAGGATAATGGGACTACGTTCTGAACTACATATGAAACAAAGTCTTTTAGATCGAATGCAACAACAACTGACTGAATCGAAGAATCAGTATCATGAACTTTCCTGTCAACAAGCCAGAAGATCTTCACCAAGCAGATCACCACATGGAGGGCCTCTATACGAGATGTATATGCAAGCCGTGCGTGAGCGTGACAGCTTGAAGGAATCCAAGGCGGAAGTTGACAAGTTGTACTTACAGAACAGAACTGAACTCATTGACACTGAGAACCTGCTCAAAACTTTCCAGCAAAATTTCGATGAAACTGGTAAGAAGTATCAAGATGCTCTGAACAAGATCGATCACATGAGTAACAATCCGAATGTGACGAGTAACTTGTTCGACAGTTTGCACAATGAAATCAATGACAGGGATACAGCCATTGTTCGCCTTCATACTGAACTTGAAGCCCAAAAGGATTCTCTTGAGCGTGCTCACAGGGATGCAGGTAAGTCCATCAAGATGTTGAACGACAGAAGACTCGTGATCAAAGGTGCGACTGACTATTCCATTCCTGAAAGCCACTTGACCGAGATGCATCAATTGGCCAATGAGCGTTTCGCTGAGGTAGAAGAGATGTCGAGCACCATTGCTGCCCTGAAATTGGAAAACCAGGTTCATTCTTCTTCATCAATGAATAGACCGACTACATTACATGGGTACCCCAGTAGTGCTATGCCTCGGAATGAATGTGAAGAGAAGTGTGCCAAACTGAAAGCAGAGTTGGACGAGATGAAGCAAGAGAGGAACGCTGAAGTTCGAAATCTTCAAGATGAGTTGAAGAAGATGGAAGATCGGAAAGATTATTACAAGAACAATTTTTCTCAAGCTGAAGATCGTGCCAATGATGAAGAGCAGGAATACCGAGCAGAAGCTGAAGCCTTCGAGAGGCTCAGGAACGAGTACAACACAAATGTCAAGGAGTTGGAGAACCTTGAGAGGGATAGATCTAAGTCATCCGTATCTCTAAGAGAAGCCGAAAAGATCAGTCTCCAACCCTGGCCTAAGACCACTGAACTTTCATCCTGGAAGGGAAGTGTCGTTCATGAAGTTTGCGTTGCAAGTGGAGATCGAAACTATGAAGATTGGAAAGCGTGGCTAGCTCCGTGTCTTGCAGATCAACCTGACTTGGAGGCTCTGGCCAAAGCACCCGATGTAAGATTCCAATCCATTGATGCCAAGCTCTCCAATGCCTTGAGGAAAGTCATTGACAATGCTGGGGACAAGTCCATGCAAGTGAAGTATGACATGCCCATGAAGAACCAATTGTATGGGAGAAGTGGGGACTTCATCAAGGGACGAGAACTATTCGCAATGATACTGATTAGCTTCAAGTCACCTGACCACACTGAAGTTCTCTACAACGCCCATCATTTGTATATGTTCAACTACTATGGAGATGACCAGCTTGAGGCCTTCTACAACAAGTGGCTTGACATCGTATACAATATGAAACATGATGATCTGCCTTCCAACAATTCCCTGCGTGACACATTGTTCCGGAAGATTGAACATTCAAAGCTTATGGCCTTCGATATCAACCGGTACAAAACCTTTGATGAAGGGCATCCTGAGAAGACCTATGCTTACCTAACTGGTATGATCAAAGGATACATAGCACGAGGGAAGCAAGAACGACTGTTGAAAGATAGAGAACGTGCAGTTAAACTGTCATTGTCCTCTAACAAGACGACACCTGCCTTAGAAGATGCAGACAAGCCTGCTGCTCCCGTCAAGACCAAGAAGGAGAATGAAGCAGCTGCATCGTCTACAGGTGATCCTCCCAAACGGCCTAAGGCGAAAGCGAAGAGTGAAGCTGCATCAGTACTTCCTACACCTTCTCCGAAATCCCATGCCGACAAGAACAACAAGAAGGGCAAAGGTGGGAAGGGAAGATCATCTTCACCTGTTGACAAGAAGAAGATTTTCTGTAACTACTTCTTCAATAAAGGAGGATGCAACAAAGGTGACAAATGTCTTTACAGTCATTCTCAAAAGGTCTATGATGCCAAGATGAAAGGTAAGAAAGGCAGAAGCGGAAGTCGAGATTCATCAAGGGGGAAAAGTAGAGGAAGTTCATCTTCAGCTGGACCCAAGAAGAAGATATGTTGGAATTGGCAAAAGGGTACCTGCACGTTCGGAAGCAAAT